CTGCTGATTGTACGATGACTGGATGCTAATGGTCCGTGTGGATTGCTCCTGCCCCTTCACAGACGTTGCAAGTGACTTGTCCTTCCTTGCAGTCACCGCATCCCTTGCCAGCGCAAGTGTCACACTTGACAGTACCGTTGCCGTGGCACGTTGGACACTGCATTTGGCGGACTGTGGGTCAAGACGGATAGGTCGGAAGGCACTGAAGTCGCGGGGGAGACGTCGATCAGCTCGTTGGCTTTTCCAAGATGTTTGGACGTCCTGAGTCGGCGGTGTGGCGCTCAAGGAATTTTGATGTCGAAGGCTTTCAAGCTTTGTCGGAGGAGAAGTAACCGCCGAGGGCGTCAAAGTAGATAGATAAAGCTCGCAAGACAGAATCGAAGCAGCAAGAGAATGAAGCTGGATGAAGGGCTGCAGATCTCAATGTCGTTATGAAACAACACATTCAGCGCAACACTTGCCGGCTATCACGGGCTTTATATACACGATAGTGGCCCATGCCTCCTCCAAGTTGCGCCCAATCTTGGACCCTGACGGATAGCAAGTAGCAACCCGAAACGAAACAGTGAAGCGGCTCAGCCACGCAAATTAAACCAGTGACCAACCAAAGAATAGAATCTTCCCTGGAGTGATGTTCCCTGTCTGCCCACGTAGAAACGTGCCCTACCATTGTGTCGGAAGTAGTCCCGGCATGAAAGAAGGACGAGCCTAAAGAGGCATTGTGCGCGGAGGGGAGCTGGAGTAGGCAGGCATCAGATTCCGCCCGTTGTGGCTTCGCGGCACGAGCCTGCCCTTCCGCATACTCAAATCTATCTCCTACGCTGTCTTGCCTTGTACGCAACTTTCGCCTCTTTAAATCTTCAGATACTGTTGTGCTGTTGAGCCCAAAGACAGCCTGCAGGGCTGTTGCACGGAGAGGCTATGACGCCCTTCTCCACATCTCGCATCACAGTCCGCAGGATCAAGAAGGACCACGAGGCCACAGCCCACGAGACGAGCGACAGTGCCTTGCGTAGCTTGGGGAGCACAGCGTGCCTCAAAATTGCCCGGAGCAATCAAGTCCGGTACACTGGTCCACTAGCGCTCTTGTCACAGCAATTAGCGAGCCGGGATAGCCCTCTCCAAGCGTCAACGTCACTGCTGGCCTTCTTACAGTGTGGGGTGTGCCTCGGATGATGCGAAGCGGTGAGCCTAAGCACGAGGGAGAGTGCTGATAGCAGGACCAACCCCTACAGGTCGTGCTACGTCTATTGGTTGCAGTATTTTTGAAGATGAGGTGACGGCTTTGCAGTAATAAGTGCCTGATAAGGCAATCACACACGTGGCAGACGCGAGAGCGTTTGCTGCGAGCCGTAGTGGTGGGTAGGGCTGAAGTCTGACTGGGCAATGCCATCACGATCAAGGAATGTGCCTAAAATGCCTCACGATGTTTGCTAGGGTTGACTCGTCCTCCGAGCTTTAGAATCAGGTTGGGGAGATTGGAATCGTAGTACAAATGCAATGCAATCAGCGAAAGGCAGTCACGCTGTCATGAGAGACAGGCATATCCGACCTTCTCCTTACAGGCGCCATCAGAGTATGCGATGAAAGGATTTTCTATTGATATGGCGGAATGAATCCATCTGAGATAGTTCCAATCTTAGGCTCCCTTTCATCAGTTTCTAGAAGGTTTCGAAGTTCCACCCTGCGAGGCGTCATCTTACCCACCTAGGCAATGTGCATCATCGCGCCTCCCGTGGCAGTCCGTCGGGAAGGATGCGTATCCCAGCACTGAATAATTCCTCAAGGAGTAGATTGTGCGTTTGTGCAATAGTAATTATATAGCTGTCCGACTATAACCTGCGCTGATATTAATATAGAGGGGCGCGTGGACGCGTGCATTCGGACGTTCAGCCTTCTAAAGGTTGTACAGCAACGGCATATCCATCGTGAATTCAGGCAGCCACAAAACATGATGTTTAGTGACGTAGTACCAATGGTTGGAGCAATATTCTTCCACGTCTTCTGATATTGTTTACTATGACTGATCGGGGATGTCTTCATAGCTTCGCCTTGAAAGTCTGTCCCTCAAGTCGTGAGGGCCCATCGTAAATATCTCGTTCCACTACACGCGTGTTGATCTATCAAATGTTACACAAAGGTCTCTTTCTCAAACACACCGATCGTCCTCCGCTGGGACGAAGCGAGGCGTGGGGCGTGGGGAGAACACTTACATGTTGCATGCCTAGCTGATCGATCCTTTCCACACCGAGCAGACGCATACAGGTTTCGGTCTCAGCTTTAAGTACTATAACATGTCAGCACGGACTAGTGATGAACCGAGCAGACCGGAATTCGCGGTCCAGAAGCAGAGTGACTTTGACTTACTCTCGAGCACTCGTGCAACACCCTCCTTTCCACCAGCACCCAGTCCGAACAACGCTCCTCGTCCGATTCCAACGCCCTTTGCTCCCAAACAGAGCGCTTTCACGACATCTGTACCACGTTTGATTCCTCCGTCTACCCATACTTCGATGCGATCGAACACTTCCGGGCAATACTTCCGGATCTCCAATAGAGTATGTACAGCGGGTGGCGCTGTGTCGAGCGCACGCCCACCATGATTCGATAATATTATAGCCTTGACATGAGGTGCATGAAGGGAGGCGAGGTAGGCGTCTTCGTGCGTCTGGACGCCCTTTAGTACGATAGGAAGATCTGTGTGCTGTGCCAGCCAGGGGAGTGTGGACTTCCACGTCAAATCTGCCGCAGTGCCCCAGAAGAGAGACTGCCCTACGCCTGCCAAGTTCTTCGGCGGGCCCGTCTTCGCGTCCTCGCTTGTGTTCGATCTTGAGGGATCGTCCGAGACAGCTGCGCGGACAGGTAGGTTGGCGCCTACGTTCTTTTGTCGCTCGTCATGCTCTCTCTTTCCCGGTACAGGCGCATCGAGCGTCAAGCAGATGAACTTGACATTTGGCAGTTTCTTCATCCTCGATAGCATAGCCTCGCTCTTCGCTCGCTCAGTCTGAACGTACAACTGCCATCCAAAGACCTGACCCGGCTTCGCATCTGCAACAATCTGCTCAGGTGTCATCGATGCATTTTGTGAGATGACCTGCATAGCACCGTACTGCGCACAAGCCTGCGCAATACCCCATTCCCCATCTGGGTTCGCTAATCGTGCCATGGCTGCTGGCGAGACGTAGAACGGCAGATTGACCTGGTTTCCAAGGAAAGAGGTCGAGGTATCGCATTTCGTGCAGTCGACGAATATCCGCGGCCGAAGCAGTATCTGCTTATAAACCGTGTTGTTGAAGTTCTTCGATATCAGATCATCGCCAGCAGAATAATAGTATGCCCAAGCCTTCCCACTGATCTGTTTCGTGGCCACGTCTTCAACATCATCCAGGTTCAGCAGTGAATCCAGATCCACTGGCCCCTCATCTTTCATCTCGCCTGTTTCCACTGGACTCTTCTCTGTGCTGGGTAGTGTATCCGGATCTATGGTGCCGAGTTTCTGCTCGGGCTTGAGGTTTTCTTCTAGAGTGCCGGGAGGGTGAATCGGATCGTACTCTTCGGTCGCGTCTGTCCCAGCGAGTTGAAGGATTACTTTTGCGCCGCCTGGGTGTTCGGAGGTAAAGTCTGTGACGTCGTAGACGGCGCCGTAGAGAATGACCCAGCAGGATTCTGCTGTGTTGTGTTTCGCGACTGCGAAGCTGTTAGGTAAGTCTGGAGGATCACGGAGTTGATCGCACCTTCTGCGTAGTCAAAAACCTTTGCCATTATGCTAACTTCCTAATTAACTCTCTTAAGACTGATAATGATATGTAAAAGGCGACAACAAAAGTACAAGGAGACTCTAAAATGCGAGCAAAGAAAGATGAAATGGCTGGAGCAGCGAAGACTCAACTCCCCCGGTCATTATGTAGCTCCATGCCGCCTCGCAATCGCAGAAGGCAAATCGCAAAACGCGGGGTGATTTCTCGGGCTTATTGCAGCCGAAATGGTAACCCGGGCCGCAATACTGGATTGGACACGATGGCGTAAGTCAGCCGAACGGCGGTGGTAGCGATTGGTGGAATCATCGGCGCAGAGGCCGATGTTGAACGCTTCAAAAGCCGACCGGTTTTCGCAGGAGCAAAACTCTAATGTTTCACTAGAGAGCAAAACCAAAAATATACATGAAAGGCAGTGTCGTAGTATTCGATATCTCTGTATCATCTCGCCCACTTAGGAGCTGTATAGTTGCAGATGTTCTTACTAATGAGTCAATCGCCGCGGCATATGAAGCCCAGGAGACGAGGAGATACACCAACTACAATTATTCCTTGGACATTTGCTTCCTATTTTCAAATTATGCTAGGTAATGGCTGTCGCAGTTTTTCCTCATCTTCTTCCTCAGGTGATTCCGCACGAGAACTTTCTGCACGATCGGAGCCTACTTGTTTTCTCCCTCACTTCCACTAACAGTGTCGAAAGTATTTGGTACATTGTTGTCCGATGGGCTATGACGTGAGCAACGAAACTCTTTTACAAGCTTATCAAATATGTTGACGCGTATCTAGTACTTCTAGATATCGTCATGATTCTTCTTGCGATACAGCGACCGACGAACATCGCTATTTACACACACACTTCGACAAAAAGAGAGCGTAAGAGAAGGAATAAGAAAAGCTCTCTGACAAAATGAAGAGAGCTGAGATATCATTACTAGTTCAATTTAGCCGTGGCCGTTATCAGGATCAATACAACTTGGGAGATCACGATCAGGCAGCTTGCTGGCAAATCGCCAGCCGCTTCCACTACCATAATAGAAAGACTACGGGCAAAAGCATCGACTAAAGTACGTCAATATCGTGTACAGCTATGCGCCTAATGATACTCTATATACTAACCTTGCGCGTGACATAGACCAAAAAACAAAGCGTAACAGTGCTCCCGGTCCTAACTCACTGGCACTCTTATATTAAACCCCCTCTCTCTCCTAGAATTGTGCAAAACGAAAATAGTATCACCGATAATATCGCCGCCGGGGCTCGAACCCGGGTCTTGTGGGTGCTCTCAGTTGTTTGAAAGCCACATGTCATAACCTCTAGACTACGGCGATGAACGTTTTTAATGGAAAGAATTCTCGCCATTCAAAATTAAATAAAATGTACATGTTCTAAAGAATTGGAAAAGCCTGTTCGTAAAGTGAAGTTCATGAGATAAGTATTTAGAATGGTGGTACGAGAACAAGGGCGGTAAGGCAGTGTTTGACTCTTTCGGGTGACTGCATCTGTTTGACTCATCAACATGTCAAACGCAGCATTCAACGTATCACGAAGCTAGGCGAATATGAATACCATGGGCTCACATAGATCAATTTGCGACGGCCAAAGGTTCAATTCATATACAAGAAACACCAGTCGTCTAGACTGAAAGACAAATCTATATACAGTGAGAAGGAAAAGCAACGCCGTTTCATGCAGCGTCAATCCAATGATACGTCGAATTCAACGTGAGGTTGTTCTCTAAAAAGAACCTCCACCAGCTTGTCTACTACTTAAGACCGTCGCAAGAGTTCCTTAGAACTGACGAGGGTGCTTGCGGTTGTTGTGGCCCTTGACCTTACCTTTGAAAGAATTGCGGAGAAGGTAAGAGATCCACTCCAGCAGGTCCTTGAGCGTGATCCCCTCAGGGAGCGGGTGCTGAGGAATCGGCCCAGTAACGTTGGCACCCGCAGTGGGCAGAGCAGTAGGGAGAGCGCCAGTCAAGAGCCCAGAGGGAATAATGGCACTGATGGTGCCAACTTGGGAGATAATCGGAGCAAGAGCGTCAGAAGTTGCTGCTGCTGCGGCAGTAGTGATGGGAGTAGCGCTGGTGGACTGGACGGCCTGCTCAAGGGAGACGGAAGTCGAGATAATGGTGGAAGTTACCACAGACATCGATGCGACAGCAGAGGAAGTGACTTCAACAGCAGCGATTGACGTGGCAGCAGACGAAGCGACGACAGCCGTGCTTGAAACAACAACAGCGCTTGAGGCAGCTGCTCTTTCCGACGAATTGCCCTGATCATCACCAGATGAGGCGCCGTCCCACAAAGCCGGTCCAGGGATATCATAAGTGGTCAAATCACTATATATGTTGACGAGAATACCGGGATCAGTTGGAGTGTAGAACTTGGTCGCGGACTCGCTGCTTGGAGCAGCAGCGCCAGCGTTGGTGACGGCAACGTTGACGCAACCGGGATAATTCTGAGCTCCATCCTCCTGGCCGGCAGAGTGCAGAGCGATGATCTCGTGGCGGAGGACATAGTTGCCCGCAGCCAAAGTAGATGGGATGGTCACAGTCCAAGAGTTGTTATTGGCGATGAGCGTGGTTGCCGCCCAGGTGCCGTCAGTGTAGCCAGATTCGTCGATCTTGAAGAAAGACAGATCAGCAGCAGTAGCTGAAGCGAATTCATCGACCTTTGCCATGTAGGTGAGGACAGGGCCCTTGTGGGAATCCGGCCAGGTGGTCCATTGGAACTCCACCTTGCCACCAGCAGCAACCGAGGCAGACGTGCCACCAACAGTGGCGTTTTTATGGCAGGCAATGTCAGAAGTCGTGTACATCGTAGGATCGACGAAGCTATTGTCGAGGCACTCGGGGCAGCTCCATCCAACGACAGACGGCGGCGGGCTCTGATACTGCATGCTTGGATCGTAGCCCTGGTAGTATGTGCCATCAGCGATGATACCAGATATATGACCATGAGCAGAGGCAGTTGAAGCGAGAGCCCCAAGAAGAGCAGCGGCTTGAATCTTGAACGACATGACTGAAGTGGTCGGATAACGGTGGACCGGAATAGAAGGAAGTACGGCAGTCAAATTTCGGATTCGACGAACATGAGTAGAATGTACCAGCTTCAATTGATGAAGGAGATTCGAAAAGATGTTGGTAAAGAATGGAAGTGTCGAAAGACTGAATGAATGGAGTCGCTGTTAAGCTGTGATGAGGGACGAGAGACTTGGCTCTCTCCTTACCGTTATATACATATCGAGAGCCTTCTAGATTTGTAGCACCAGGAGCAAGATTGGATAATCCACCGCATCGCGAGACATTGGCAAGGAGTTTGCAAACGAGCTGCCAGGGAGCAGCCGAGTTTTGGTTCCCGTTCCAAGGGACGGTAAGATGGCAGGAGAGCGGCTAACGGCACCTCGCCGCCTCCTCTACCAGGGTCTTCCGTGGTTGATGCAGGCATCGATGATGCGAAACATGAAACTTCGCGGGATAAGACGTCGTCCGGAAATTTAGTGAAATCATATTAAAATGATGGGCTTTAGAAACAAGTCAATGGGACATTTCTTTACGATGAGACAACTAGCGAAGCATTCTTGCAAGGTTTGCAGAGGGTTGCTCTCTCGTGCTGTCCATAAGTCTTCAGCAGCTGAGAGAGTGGTGGAGAGATGAGTGGATGAAACGAAATGTCTAGCCGACATGGAGTCTTCTAGCCAGTCCAGAAGCGGCCTAGTGGTCTTCGACAACGTGAACGCTGACCGCGCGTTCAACAACCCTTCTCTCATCAAACAAACCCACCTCGACTGGCACCCAGACCCAGTGTTCATCATGTCGTCTATGTCATCTTCATATATCTGTGTCAACTCACCCGAGCCGCCGTTATGGAAGATTTGACGTCGAGTCGCGTGCATTCCTGCCCGTTTCACCAATTGGTGACTGTGGGTCCAGAAACTTGTTCTAGGCGTGTGGCGTCCATAACGGTTTTGTGAGACAAGCTTTGCCCACAGCAATCGAAAAGAAGCAGTCAATGGTGGAAAATGGCGGAACAACCAACCCCGCAGTAACAAGACTCGTCGGCTGTGCATTACGACTTCCTAAGATTAAAGGCAGACCTACTGCTAGGAAATGCTTGAACGTAGAGAAGTCTGCATATCCTGCGAGATCCATTCGGAAGACATTTCATTTAACGGCTTAGGCACACAAGATCAACATGTATCGAAATCATATCTTACATGAATTAGCGCTACAGCATAAATCAGTCGCACGCCCACGCGCTACAACTTTTTTCCATGTTTGCATTGCTTCTATTCCACGGTCACTGGGCTTCTGTGGGGAAGACGACACTAGGAGGGTGTTAATTTGCATGTCAGGTTTTCGCTATGAACTAAGGCTATACTTGGATGTCTCACGAACACCACATGCTTCACGGGCATCCCATATTCTTGAACTCATCGGTGTTGGAGAGGGCAAATGTAAAGCTTGACCAGCACAACAACGTAAGCTCTCACTCTAGCAAATTATCAGTGTTTGACCCATCTTCTGCAATAGCTTGACTCCGTGAAAGCTGGGCTATTTCTTAAATACCGCGCCGGATACCTGTTTTCCTAGTTCGAACAGTGTACTCCGTCGAAGATTGTCCGCTTATAGTTTCACGACTTCCCCTAAGCTCTTAGGACACCTTCAGTAGTGCATCAAGTCACTGTCATTTGTACCCATCTCTACTTCAGCGATATTGTCAACATCGCACACGAAGTACCGTTGTAGCTTTGCCTGATCGACGGACATAAATCCGGATTCTTCATCGCTCTTCCACATCCGTTCCCAAAGGCTGTCTGCTAGTTTCCTCCGCTTCAATCCATGCTCAGGGTCTATGCGCGCGCTTAACATAGTCCGGACAAATGGCATCACATATTCCATGAGTTCGTTCAATTCGCCTTCGGTGGCTTCCCGGTTCAAAAGCTCGGGCTGCCGGACGAAGTACTCGAGCTGTGCCCGAATGTTAAATTGCCAGGATAATTGGACCTCCACACATGTGGACTCGAGACCGAGCAGCTCGAATTGCTCTTTGACCCAGAATTAGAGGATATCATGAAGCTGCTGTTTGACTGGGACAATATCGACGACGCATAGGTTGGTGAATTTGAAGGCGAGAGACACGACTGTGTCGTCTCCTTCGTGAGCGTCTCGCGAGTACTCTTCAAATGTTCGTTTATTGTTCTTTCTCTGAGAGGTATTGAGCTGTGTTTGCGACATGGCGTCACAAAGCTCCTAGACGCCGTTACATAGATGCCAATGTGGCGAAAACGTCATATCGCAAGGTAATGTTGGAGTTGGGTTTCAGTTATAAGGTAGGACAATTGTAGCCAGGTGGGACGCTCTTTGGACTGAATGTGTCTGAGAAGTGATTCACTAAGTGAATGGCTAACATTGTTCACTACTGACCGTGGGCACTCAATATTCAGCGGGCATTGTGAACCGTCTTTGTAGATCCGAGAGGACTACCAGATCTCGACAAGCAGAATTGTGGTCGTATAACAACGAGGACCAACGTCTTGAGAGCACTCTATAGAGACAATGCCATCGAAAGAAACACGCCGCGGATTCTCTATGCTAACCCCAGCACGAAGGTCATTCCTATATAAAGGATCATAACCTACCGCAGAAGCTCTTCTCACCACAGAAAAATTCGTTTGATACAACGTGATAGATCCAGCATGGAGAACTTCATGGGAAACCGTCTTCGGGACCTCGACGAGTGCATAATCTGTCACAAAGGCTTCTCGGCTACGGACGTCGCCGTTCAGATAACTCAGCACCAATGCCGTGGTGTATATCATCACCGGTGTCTGCAGAGGTGGTTCACGACACTGGAGCACGCAGGATCGAATAGCTGCCCAATTTGTCATACAATACTATTCGATCGTGACCCGCGCATCCCAATCTTTGTCGACGACGTCTATGAGGATCACATGTACATCGAGAGTCTGGACATGATATCATGGCGAGAGTATTTCACCAAAGATCTTTGGGACATCTCATTCAATGCTTTCAACGTTCAAGGCGATAATAACCCCATTTTGATACGCGAAGTAGAGATGTGGATCAAGGATGCGTTAGTGAGGACAGGAAATCACTTCATCGAGGAGAGTTACATTATTCGAGCTGATCATCTAGCAGCATTGATTCCAGTTGTCAAAGATATGATTACTGCCCACTACTCTAATGCGCAGTTCAACACTTTGAATCGCGAGGATCTCCATGAGTGGTATCGGAAAGTTAAAGACGCTCTAGGATGGCGTCCAAATGTGCAACCTGAGCACGATGATGAAATGGATGATGCCGGAC